TTTTTTTTTGCACATTTTTGGACTTTTTTTTTTTAAAATAAAATTTTCATATTTTCTGATGAGCCGAGCAAGTTCAGCTCTTGGGATTGAGCCCCCGCTTGGCTCGGACTCGGACTCGGGCTCGTCAAACCCATGAGCTAATGAGCCGCTCAGCCCGTTTGACATTCCTATGCTAGCCACGGTTCGAACCACAGCTTCATCAAATTTAGTATGACATTGAACTTAATATGACATTTTATTTCAATTTAGTAATAATCTAGTTCACACATTGAACTGTTTTCGGTTCCATTGAAAACCGTCCGAACTTAGTATGACATTTTATTTCAATTTAGTAATATTATGACATTTTATTTCAATTTACTAATAATTCGGTTCACACGTTGAGCCGAATCCGATTCCACTGAAAACCATCCGATTTGGAGGGTTGGTAGGCAGGCGAACCGATCAGAGTCCGATTCACATGCTTAACTAATAAGTTTCTTCACTCGGACCGGACCAAGGTCCAGTTTGGTGGTTCTCGGTTCGGACTAATCCAATCTGGTTCTGACAACTATGCGTACTAGAGTGTGTGTGTGTGTGTATATATATATATTTCCTCTTTTTTTTTTTAAGTGCCTTTAAAATTAATGAATCTACTACGCCAAATTATTTTAAAAATGATTTTTAGTTTTGCCAAATTTGTTTCTAAACCACATGATTCACGTCAAGTATAACTTATGACAAAACGAAAGATCGATGCTAGTGGAAAGGCTCAATGGCGCACATCAACGTGTCACGTGCGACAAACACACGTGTCTACTTTCCTGCCACCAATTGTCAAGTAGGTCCCACTAAAACCAGATCGAACCACGTCATCATCCACGTCAAAACCTTTTTCTCCTCTCTCCTCAGAATATTCCAAACACCCTTCTTGAAAATTCCCCTCTTCTCTCTCATAAGAAAAACCTAATCGAGAAAGAAAATTATAATGTGCTAAGACCATGTTTGTCTAAAAATATTTACTTATAAGTAAGAGGTATGTTTTAAAATAATTTTTAAAATGGTGAAGGTTAATAAGTCACTTAGAGAGGATAAATTAATAGTTATATTAAATAAAGTTAATCCAAATTTTTAGTAAAATAATAAAATTGACTAAAGGCTTGGCCAAACATGCTCTTAAATTGAAATCTCCCATTTATAAAGTGTCCCATTTTCATCTGAGATTCTTCTCTATTTTCTCTAACCGCTCAAATCGTCTCTACGCTAGATTCTCTCCTCATTAAACCAAATTCTTTAATGGATACATTGATCATCGATTCAATTGAGAATTTGTTGTTATATTTTGGCGTTAATTGTTCTTCAATTCATTCTGAATCCTGCAATTTTCTTGTTTCTATAGCTTCTTTTCATCGTCCAATTTCTAGTCATTCTTGTATCGTTTCTTTTTTGCGTTAATTAGTTAATAATAATCGCCAGTGTAGGTGCGAAGAGCATAGCGACACCATGGGTAAAAGTATGTTATTTAATTAATTGAGTTAATTCGTTAGTGGAATTTCATTTTTAGGGTTTCTATACTTAATGTTTTAGTTTCTGTTTGATTTATTAGCAATTGATTGTGGAAGGCCTAATTGTTTCCTTTGCGTGGTCTCACTGAAGTTGAAAACTGTCTAAATTAATTACGTATATTGTTGTTAATTTCTGAATAGCATTAATGAAGTAATTTGGTTGTTTGATTAGATCTCTGAATTTAAATATTTAATAATTGATTGTGTTTTTGACATTGTTGTTTATTTTATGATAATTATCTCAATTTGGAGTCGATGTTCTTGCTAGTAAGTTCTTGGATTTGTGCTTAAATAGACACGAGATTTAAAAATTGTTCCTAATTAAAGTCATAGTTAGCACGTGGGGTTCATTTAGTAACTTTCTTAATTCGAGCTCAGTCATCTGGTTATTATCTTTGAATGACTTGAATCTTGTTTTTCATTTGGTTGTAAATTTTTTGGTTCAAATCTTGTTTCTGTTTTTGGAAATGTGTTTAGCATGTGGCCCCGTAGAAATTAGGAATTTCGTATTACTTTATGATAATTACCCTTTTTCTTTCTTTTTTTTTTTTTTTAAAGATTTGTTTGATTATGATTATATTGCTCCGAAATCCTTGGCTTTGTGTTTTAACCTGCCTTATGTCATGTAATTTTACAGGAAGTTCTCAAAAAAAGAATGTTGCTATGTTGGATAGTGATGATGCATCTAGTGTGAGCTCATCGTCATCAACCATGCAGTCAGAAAATATGGTATTCTCAAATGTTGAAGAAGTGCAAGTGGATAAAGATAGTTTACTTGATCAATGTTTAGATGCTCTGTACGAAAAAAGGTATTGTTCAATATCTGTTCGGTGCTTTATCATTTATCAGTTGTATGTTCTAGTGAAAGTTTTTAAGGTGTTAACTTTGGATATTGGCTGCAGTTCTAAAAGAATGCTGAAATTCTTATTTACAGATCTAATTTATTGACTACGAAACAAGAAGGGACTTTGTTTAATATGTGTATTCTGTTTGCCTTCTACAGAGGATCTACAAGAGAGAAGGCTTTGTCGTCAATTATTGAAGCATTTAATAACAGCTTACCGCATGAGTTTGTTGAAAACAAGTATGCTAATTCCCTGTTTCAAATGCTATTCTATTTTTTTCTTTTTTTATGCTTTAGAGGTTATTGAGCATAAATCTATATTTTTAGTATTACCATTGGTGTATGTGATATATTTCCAAATATTTTGCATAGTTGGACCGCTAGAAGTTGATGTGCATTCAATATGCTTTGACTTAAACTTTTTCATTTCCCCTTTTTTTGGGTGGTTGTAAGAGAGGGGGAGGGAAGGAGGGGAAGGGTAGCTCTATAAATTTTATTATGTTGGAGCCTGGAGGATTGGGGATTCCACTTGGCTAATTTGAGTTATCATGCATTAAAGACTCATTTAAATTAATATTACTCCCTAGCTATTGAACTTTATCTTAGTAACTCAGTTCATTAGAGTGGAATTTCACTTTTTCTGATGCACTTGTTGATGTATCATCTTGTTGTAGTGTTCTGGTGATAATATAGTGTTTCTTGACCTAGGTTTGCTACACTTCTGCATCAATGTTTGAATTCAATCAAGAAGGGTTCTGCCAAGGAGATTGCTTTAGCATCTCATGTCATTGGTAATTATTTCTATTCTCCACATAAACAATGTCAATCTTATAATTTTATAGCAGACCATTAATATATTATCCAATAACTCTTGATAGGACTTTTGGCCCTGACAATTGGTCCTGGAGAGAAAGCACAGGAAATTTTGGAAGAATCTCTATCTCTCATATCAGAAGCTCTGAAATCTCGTTCTGAACCATCCAAGATATCATCTGTATGTCAGACTCTGGCAGTAACTTTATTTTAAATTGCAATTTTACTTCTGTGACCTGTTTTGATACTCTTTGGATATCGTGCTGATATAAATTGCAGTTGCTGGAGTGTTTGGCTATTATTACTTTTATTGGCGGAGAAGGACCGGAGGAAACAGAGAAATCAATGCAAATAATGTGGCAAGTGGCTCATCCAAAATTGGGTCCCAATGTACGTCGTCTACTTTATTGCATTGACATGCATTTAGTTTTAGCAGTCAGGCGCAATTGATGTGGTGGTGTCTATTTCTTTGTCACGTGGTAGTTTATTTTTGTAGATGATACATTCTATGTTTTTGTTTTATCTATGCATGTGATCAAGCATTAATATTGTTGTTAATTGCAAATTAATTATTAATAATACTTGATCTATGATGTCATTTGTATTGGTATAGTTTTAATTTTATTTAAGCATTGGTGGTTTGATTCCTAATTTTTCAAGTTTTAGTTGTCAATATTAGTTGTTCATCACTGCCTTCACCAGCTATAAATTTTACGATGTCATGAATCTGGATCTGATTTCAGGTGGCTGCTGCTAAACCTTCACCAGCTATGATAACCACGGTTGTGTCTGCTTGGTCATTTCTCCTCACTACTGTGGATGGAGGGACGTTCAATTCCAAAAGTTGGCAAGAGTGAGTAAATTTTTGTTTGTCTGGACTGTTTTCATCTTCATATTGTATACAATGGGTCAGTGGGTAATGTATTTCACAGCTTATTGATGGTGTTTATTGTCTTCATGAATGATGCAGGTCAATTTCATATTTTTCTTCTCTTCTAGACAAGGAAGATAGGTCCCTACGCATTGCAGCTGGTGAAGCACTTGCTTTAATTTTTGAGATAGGCAGCTTGGATAAGTTCTCTGCTGAAGCCAAAGGATCTAGTGACATTTCCACTGACGCAGAAAATGGTCAGAGACAATTAGTTCACATTCAGGGGTTAAGGACTAAAGTTTTAAACCAAATGAGTGACCTCTCTGTTGAGGCAGGGGGGAAAGGTTCTGCCAAGAAAGATCTCAATAATCAGAGGAATAGGTTTCGAGATATCGTTGAATTTCTTGAGGTATATTATATCAATATTTTCAGCTATAAAGAATATTCTTTCTGGTTGTCTGATCTTTTTATCAATGTTGAAACTTTAGGATGGCCGTACTCCAGAGACCTCAGTGAAGATTGGTGGGGAGTCACTAAACACTACTACATGGGCACAGCTGATACAGGTCTATTCCTTCTTTATTTACTTATAGTGGTCAATAGTTTCTACAAGTTTGCACTTTTTGATCGTTGTATTTGAACAGTTGAACTTTCTGAAACATTTTCTCGGGGGAGGATTTGTGAAGCATATGCAGGTAGACTTTTGTCCGAAGCCAAATGGATTTATGCTCGATTTCTCTATAGCTGTGCTAACATCGTCCGTTCATACTTTGTTCAAAACAGGAGAACGAATTTCTTCATGATGTCTTCGGCTTCATGCCAAAGAAAAAGATTGCTTCAGGTGTCGAGCATCGCATGTCTGGAGGTGAAAAGGTTAGTCTACAACATCCTTACCACAATCATCTTTGGCAAGCAACTCTGTTGCTAAGCTTATGTATTGATCTTCTAGTTCATTGGCTCTGATATAGTTTATGAACAACTCAGTTAATTTTTAACTTATAGTAATATTCATGTGGAATAATGGTCCATGTCTTCCTTTGTTCATTATATTGTTGAGATACAATAGAGCAATCTTTATCATGTGCTTAGAGGAGTTTTTGATATCAGTTGAAATGATGCACCCATGGATATTGTGCATTGTAGCATATGTATTTGGGCCCACATTTGTATATATCACATGGTGTTGAGTGCTGAATCAACTAAGATTTACATGCTAAGATTTTGCAATTATCCCATGTTTGATTTTGAATTTTTGAGAAGTGATTTTGTGGAATGAATTTTTTTTTTTTTTTTTTTTTTTTTTTGGGTGTGGCTAAAAAGTTGGAAAAAGCTAAGAGTGCACATGCTAAATTATTTTATCGGTAGAATATGAAATAAAAATGAGTTTGTGGAAAAGTGATTTTGAAAAAATAAAAATCAAACAAGGGCTAAATATCGTTGTGGCATGTGCTCATTTTATTTATGCTTTTCTCCGAAAAGATTGTTTTCAATTTGTTCAACAAAGTGTTATTAATATATTGGAAACAAATTAAATCCGGACTAAGTTTTAAAAAATGATTCAATATCAAGTAATTTTTCTTTTGGAAAACCAGATTTTAATATTGCCCTAGAATTAGTCATGTAGTTGGCTAGAACTTCTCAACTCAAAACACTTTTCTGGATGAGTGGATGGAGTACTCCACTTCAGTTGTCAAGTTGATTTGATCTAATTTGTGGGTCTGTTAAAAAGAATCTTTGTAATGCATTAAATCTTGTGCTTGAGCTGGTTAAGCTAGTTTCTTCTGTTGTCTGTTCTATGTTATGTTAGTTTTGTATTTTGGGGCTCTGCATTAATGCAGTTGCAGCGTGTGCGAAGGTGATTGTGGTTGGTGGGGGTGGGGGTTACAGCTTTTGAGCTTCTCCTATACTTAAAATTTGCTGATCGCCTTTTTTTGGCAATTACAGAGGATGTACAAATCACCTAACTCAGCTCTCAACAAGGCAAGGACTCAATTCCTAAACAAACAACGGATGTTATCCCAGGTAGTTGATTCTCTAAAATTTTTGCAACTCTATCATTTGTCATGGGTGTTCTCCCTCCCTTCTGACACAGCAAGAAATGAAAGTCAGCACTCTCGTAGTGTTGTGTGTACATTTTTTTTTTATTGCCCTTGCCAATGTTGCACGGATACTTCTACTAGGATAGCATGTTCGTGTCGGACTCGTGTTGGATACTAACACTCTACCATGGTCATTCTTCTTTCGTTATCAAAAATATTATATATTTTTAACTCAAAAGTTATTATTAAATACCAAGTACGTACTCATATCTAAAATACTTCAACAAGAAAAATTAATAATAAGCAAAAAATTAAATTTATACTATATAAATAAAGTATTTTAAAGATTTTAATTAACGTGTCAGCTACATGCCTTGTCAATACTTGTTGAAAAATTGCATATTGGCGCATGTCGGACACATGTATCCATGTCGATGCATCATTAATATCTCGTCGAGGCTGGAATCCCACTTGCTCATAATCAACATGCTGTTCTCATAGTTAGGTCATAGGTCTATGTTTGATTACACAACATTATAGGATACGTACACGACTATTATTCCTAGATTAGGTTGAGATCCTAATCTTATTAATGCAAGATGGCATAAAGTTCTATATATCGTTTCTATCATTATGGGGCACGTCAGTTAAATATAAGGTTGCTTTTCTGTACTGGTGGATGAAAGGATAGGTTGTGATATGGTTGAGCTACTGTATACTTCCATGTTCTACTGCTGCTTCATTAACCAATTGTGCAGAGCCGGACACACTAATTGACGAGGATTACTCATTTGCAGGACAAAAACGCAGGTCACTATGCGGTTGGGTTTGGCGACGAATGAAAGTTGTTGGACGGCTCTTGATTCTTCTCTTAGTTAATTCAGGAACCAAATTGCCTTTATCATAGTGAAATACTGTGGCATATATCATTCTTATGGGCGATGCAAGATGATACTTGAGCATTTTGCACATCGTGCTGGCTGAATAATTCTTTGTTCAAACTTGAGATGTGGTTAAATTTCAATTGAAAGATTCGTATGCTTGATAATTACATTTTCAGATGGTAGTATGCTTTTCTTACAATAGCTGGTAACATGATGATGCATGGTATTCTATCCTTGCCTTCAAAAACTTGTTAGTTTGTAGAAGTTATACATTGGTTGGGCATGAGAACTTGTGGTTCCCATACAACAAGTCTATTTGACAATCGTTATTTTCAAGCTTTTTCTTTTACGTACTTATTAACAACATATTGATGAAATAAAATACTTAATGCTTAAATTGAAATTTTTTTCTTACATTTTGACTACACATTTTCATAAAAATTACTATTCAAAATTCTATTTTTCCCAAATGATGATTGTCAAATAGGGGCTAAGGATGGCAATGCAACCGATGTTTAAATGATTGTTTGCAAGCGTGTGGAATATGTTAAGAGTAATGTTATTTAGCATCATCTCCATATAGACTCTCGTTGCATGAAGCCATGGTCTTCTTAGCAACATATTAAAAGATGACTCAATATTGTAGATATGGAATGAAATTAAACGCATAGTGGGCCCTATTTTTAGCTTAATCATGGTGCTGCCAATCATATCAGTTTAGATGACATTAATGTGATACTAAATAAGTTATTTATTTTACACAATTTATTGAATCTATCATATAGCATCATTAGCATGAAGTTATGGTACAAATAGTGCTGGATAGAATTATTTTATTCAACATGTTATTAAAGTCTCAGTTGAAATGAACGGTTGGGAAAAAGACAACATTAAATAATTGATTTAACTAAGAAACCTTTAATTAGTAAAGTAAAACATCAAATAATTGACTTAAAAATAAGTTGTCTTCCAAATTATATTCAATACATGACATAAGAAAGTCAAAAGACTTTTGACCTCAATGCCTATCATTATATATGTTCAATGAAAATGCTTAAGCATACCTACCATAGATTATTTTAAAAGTAAAAGTCTGTGTTTTCCATCAAGACTAGATAATCATAGAGAATATGTTTGGTAATTTATACGAAACAATTAATTTAGTTGTCAATTTTAATTTATTTTTCTTTTTGAGTACGGCCTATTTAATTTCTTATTTAAAACACACACAAAATTACTTCTATTTCTTCACCAACGGTCAATGGCATCTCATGTCTCCACTTGAGTCTCACCTTCATCAATGGTGCTTTTATCATTATAACCTAATTCCATATTGATTTAGTTAATAATAATTTTTTTTTTCCAATTTTTGGCAAAATCTTAAAATTTCTTCAAAATTTATAGCCGATACAATTATCAAAATTTTGGTCCAATCTTCAAGGCTTTTATTCAATAAATAGATGAGGAAATCGTATTGTAACTAATTTGGACTAATAAACTTTAAAAAAAAAAAAACAAAACAAAATAAAAAAAAAACAAAATAAAAAAAAAAGTCAAAATAAAAATTTTATGTAAATTTGTCATTCTATGATGTTATAAGAATTTCTCAATCGTGGTGTAAAATTGATTTTTTCAAAATCACTTTTTCATTCTCATTTACATTCCGGTGGTTATAATTTCAAATTTTGTTCCAATAAAAAGATCTAAGTCCACTTTTTATCGCTTGTGAATGTAAAAAAAGAGGTAAATTTAAATCATTGTTTTACATTTTTGTCGAAAAATAAAATTTGCATTTCTTTTTACACCATAATTGAAAATAGTTGATAGAAAATAGTTGGTCCGAGCCCCTTTGTAAACGCTAATTGCCAATAAATAAATAATCATGATTCAACATGTTAGATAATTTAATATCTTATTTTTTAACATTTTAATTTTTTTTACATTAAGTGTTCGATAAGATTAACAGCTCAAGATTCAAGTTCTATACTTTCGAAAATAATAAGATAATAGTGAATACGTGGATCAATGTCATGGATTCAACTGGAAGATTGATGAGGCAGAAATTAGGTGGCACCTTCGACTCTTGTTAATGATGAAAAGGTGCGAACTGATTACCCTAAAAGCCATCCAATCTGTCACGAATGTCAAATGAGAACAAAATCTTAGTTTTAGGGTTTTTAATTTCATACTGTTTGCAAATGTTGGATTCTATTCCCCTCTATTTGCAGAAGCATTTTGGGGCTTCGTATTTTCATATAGATCGTGCAATGGCCGGTGGTATGTACCAAAAATTCTTGTAATAAAATCTCAAGATTTTAAATTAACATTTTAGTGTAATATAGTAGGGCTGCACAAAAAAAATCGCGAAAACGCAAATCAAACCGAAATCATTGAATTGAAACCGTTGGTTTGTGTTCACGTGGATCTGTGATTTTTTTTCTCTCAAACTAAATCAAACCTTTTCAAAATGGTTTGGTTTAAGTTTTGATTTTCAAAAATCACACAAAAATTGAACCGAACCGTTTTTAATTTTTTAATTAAAACATTAATTTAATTAACTTAAAAATTTTACAACTTTCACTTTTTAGGAAAAAAAATATCAATTTAGCAATACAAATTACAACCAGCCTATTAAAATAATCATTAAAAGTAAATTAGGTTCATCATTATTACCCTAAGGTATTCACAACACATTCTCACCCAATATCTAAACTAAACTAAAATTATTCCAAAATCATATGAAATGAAATGAAAAAAACATATAATTTCAACAATTCAAATCATAATTCAACAAAACTATATCAACAAATCGCGTCAAAAGTTTTAGAAGCCCTAACGTAAATTCCCATTGCCCTAACAGTTGACATTTGTTTACCGCTGCTGAATGACTCGCTAGTCGCATTTGCTTGTTAATCTGGTAATTTTTACCTGAAGCGCATCTTTCTCTCTTCTCTTTCAGTAAGTCTTAGATTCTCATTCAAGTGATTTTTCCGTTGTTCTTCTTTTATTTTTGTTTTTAAACTTATTATACACTTGTAGTTGTGATTTGGATAGAAAAATGACATTTTGTATGCCTAGATAATTAATGAATTTGTTCGTGATTTGGAATGAACGAAAGACAGAGAGTATTGATTGTATGAAAATGTTAATGTTTCTTAACTAGTACTACTACCTTCATAAAATAGTTAAAAAATGAAATTCGACAATTCACAATAAGCCGAAACCCTATCAATTTTTGTACATCTAAACATATCCCGTTCAATCTTTATTTAACATCCCATTAGCAAGAGGAAATGAGTTTTAACCAAACTATAATAACAAAATATAACTATACCTTCACCAGCTGCTATATGACAATTTAAATTTCAAACAAGAGAAGATAAAATAAAAATGAAGAAAGATGTATTTGTTCTATTAACATCTTTTAACAACCAATTTTGAAATAATCTATTCATGAATTTCATGGTAAATATGAATAAAATTTAATATTATTAGTTCTTATCTACACTTATATGTTAATTTATGTTAAATATATTACTATAATATTGATAGGTAAATCGTGGATTAAAATCGAACCAAATCGCAAATTATGGTTTGGTTTGGTTTGATTTGAAAAATAAAATGGTTTGTTTTAATTTAGAAAAATTTCAAACCGCATAAAATGATTTTAGTTTAAAATATAGCACAAACCGCCCAAATTGAATCGCGTTCACCCCTACCTCGACATTTGACACCTAAATATTTATATACATTGATACCTCAACATTTGGAGTGAACGCATTTCGGTTTGGGCGATTTGTGTTATATTTTAAATTAAAATCATTTTATGCGGTTTGAAATTTTTCTAAACCAAACCACAATTTGGATTTGGTTCGATTTTAATCCGCAGTTTACCCATCGACATTATAGTAATATATTTAACATAAATTAACATATATGTTTAAACAAGAACTAATAATGTTAAATGTTAAATTTTATTCATATTTACCATGAAACTCATGAATAGATTATTTTCAAAACTGGTTGCTAAAAGATGTTAATAGAACAAATACATTTTTCTTCATTTTTATTTTTCTTCTCTTGTTTGAAATTTATATTGTCATATAGCAGTTGGTAAAGGCAGAGTTGTATTCTATTATTATAGTTTGGTTAAAACTCATTTCATCTTGCTAATGAGATGTTAAATATAGATTGATCATACTCATGAACTTTGAAAAATGTTGTACATTACTCACTGTAAACTCGATATTTTTCAAAGTTCAAAGGTTATACTAGTGAGTAACTTACGGCATATTTCAAAGTTCAGTGGCCAAAATTCGACATTTTAAATTTCAGAGAGCAATCTAAAATATGAACTTAAGTTCAGTGAGCAATTGAAGATATTGACCAAAGTTCAGTGGCCAAAACTTGACATTTTAAACTTCAATGACCAATCAAAGACATGAATCTAAGTTCAATGACCATTGTAACAATTAACTCGCATATTGTGCACGGTTCAGTAATGTCGCAATATAACACAGGTTTACATGGGAGATGACGTCAAGTTAATTAACCAAATTCACGACTAAATAATAGGATTTTTAATGAATAATGTAGATAAATAACATGGAGATTCAGAATATTTTCTTTGAAAATCATTAGATTATTTAAATTTTTTTATAGTTAGAGATAAGATAGTACGGGGATTGAGGAAAAAATGAAATTACATAGCTCTCATTTATTACTCCAAATAAAATAGAAGTGCAAATTAAGCCTCTGTTTAGCTGGAATTAAAATTAGAATTTTAACAAATTTGATAAAAGTTGATGAATGTACAGATGAAAAGTTGTGAATCGATCCCATAAAATGTGTTTATTGAATAAAAAAAATACACTCCGCGAACATTGCCCAATCTAGAGAAGTGAAGCAGCTTACAAGGGGAACAAGGCCTAAGAAGTGCGCTCGAAGTAGGCGAACATCCCCCTCCATCCAGGATGTCCCTAGACTGGCAAGTAAAGACATGTGGGGCCAATAAATAAAGTGTGATTTTTAACCAAATCAATTATAAATCAACTAATAAGGAGTCGTTATCTGCCATCAAAATGACGCAATTACCCCTAGGATTTGGAGGAAAATCTATAAATATCCCCTCATTTGAATAGATATTGATGCAATTCATATATCTTCCCTTCAAATAGCTATTTTCCTTCCTGCTTCAA